ATTTGTACTTCATTTTTATTTCTTCCATTCTAAAATCTTAACTGAACTCATTAGATTTAGGCGTTATCTTTAGGTTCTTTGGTAATTATTTATTTATTCATTTATTTCTGTAGTAGTGGTATGTGTGTGTTTTGCTGTTGTTATCCATGAGGTTGTATAGCAGAAATGGGGGCATAAAGATCATAAATTCAAGGTCATCCTCAACCATATGGAGTTTGAAGCCAGCTTACACAACACGATGCCTGTCTCAAAATGTGTATGTGGGGGAAGTCATATTTTCCTGCTTCTTTTCTGGTGTGTGTGCTTATTCTTTCCTTCCTGCACCATGCATTACTGACTGAACTTTCAGCATTGCATTTAATAAAAATGTAGAAAGAGAAAATTTCTTAATTACCTTCTTAGAGATTCTTTCATTACCAGTTGGTGTTATCTCCCCACCTATCATTGTTGTCTAATGAGAGGAACAAGGTAATGTGTGTCAAATTCTTTCTTTCAAAACCTGAGCATTTAAGTTTTTCTTTTTAAGAGCACATCTTGATTTAAAGATTACACTAAAGTATCACATTAGAGCACTGAGAAAAACCTCATAATTTGTTTGGTGACTTTTAGCTTGTTTGTCTCTCTCAATACAAATACAATTGATGGTTGTGACTGGCTGGTGTAAGGGTCTATGTTCATTCACTATTTAATATTATATTATTTGAAAGATTAGATCTGCTTAAAACATCAAGATTTTATTTGCAAATAATAGCCAATTCATTGTTTGAGCACTTCTTTGATACTCAGAGTCTTTGCTCATTCTCATCTGTGTCTCTTCCTGAGAGGACATGGATCTTCCTTAGAGGGCTCAAGCCTAAGGGCTTACGTGACCTCCCATAACTAGCATGACACTCGCACAGAAAAGTAATGTCTATCCTAATGGTTAGGAACCCTTCCTGATGGCTGCTATGGTCCTTGCAATTGATTGCTAGGGATGGCTCTCTTCCTAGACTGATGTGGTCTTATGTGTCTAGTATCACGAACAGCTGCCACTCCAGGCCCTGGCTTAAGTGGTCTTAGCCAACATCGTTAGGAGTGCTGTAGTTTAGCGTACTGTCTTGATTTTTACCACAGCGTTCCTTGTTTCACAATATAAGGAGAATCCAAGTTGCAGAAAAACTGATAAATTTCTTTTTCTTTTTTAGGCAGAAACTTCTTATCCCAAATGGAAGCTGTCCTATTATTCTGAATACGTATTTTTGTCAGAAAGCTGTTGCAAGAGAAGCAGTACCTGAAGAATACTGTCAGGACGCCTCTCTTCCAAGAAGAGACATAACGTTGGCCCGGATGTTTAGAATCGAGGAGATAACATGTAGTTCATCCAGAAATCAGGTAAATTCTCATTGACTTCGAATTCTTACACTTGTAATATTGTTGATTTCTGTATTTGAAAGTAAGGATATTCGTCTTCTGTTCCCAACTATATGTGCTAGTGTGTGTGTGTGTGTGTGTGTGTGTGTGTTGTTATCATTATTGTACCAGAAGATATGAAAGCTGAAGGAGCATTTAGTCATGGTCTCATTTTAATTTTCCATTACATGGCTTTAGTCTGTATTTCAGTTTATTACAACATGAAAGTTCTCAGTGCTGTGGGGTTATGATTAGCACATTCGGGGATTATAATGTATTTTCTCTATTTTTATCTTAAAATTAAGAGTTTCAGTCTTTATTATGTTCTCTGTTTTCCTGGTATCTGTGTCCATTGAGATAAAACTGTATAATTATGTTAGAAGCTATATGATAGAGATTGATTTAATGAAGTTTGGGATAAGGACTCTGAACAATTTCAAAATGGATTTGGAATTTCACAGTAATTCACTGGTAGTGGGTAGGGTTTATGTCCATGAAGACTCAGCTCTGTGAATCTGTTTTCAGGACACTGGAATCAAATTCTCTAATTTCCCAGAATCACCGCAGGATAAAATGTTGAGATTCAAAGGAAGAAGGAGGGGAAATCAGAAAGTGGGTAAAGCTTCACCCGCTTGAAAACATTGAAAAAACATCTTCCACTGACTACCAAGAGAAGTATCTGGAAGGAGTAATTTGAGGAGGGCCTATGACCTCCACACACATGCCATATAGTACACACACACGGGGGCAGGGGATATTAAATTAAATCATAAAATTTAAATTTGTCAAAGTATACTTTTAAACAGTTTATGCTATGTGAAACTCTTCAGATATGTTTTGTTAGATAACAGAAACCATGTAGCATACTGGTAAAGAATACAGATTTTGAGAGGGCTGGAGAGAAGGCTTAGCATTAAGAGTCTTCTGCTGCCAGTCGGTGGTGGTACATAACTTTAATCCTAGCAGATTAATTGGGAGGCAGAGCTAAGCAGGTCTCTGAGTTTGAGGTCAGTCTGGTCTACAGAGATAGTTTTAGGACACAAGGTTACACAGAGAAAACTTGTCTCATAAAACAAAACAAAGGGGGGAGGAGAGAGAGACGGACAGACAGACAGAGAGAGACTGAGACTGTGCTGCTATTCCAGAGGACCCAAGTTCAGTGCCCAGCATCTACATAGGTAACTGACTGTAGCTGCAGGAGATCCAGTGCCCTCTCTAGTTCTCCAAAGATGCCTGCACTCATGTATGCAGTTCCCACTGACACAGAGAAAATAACATAGTATCTTGGAAACATGTACTTTGTTTCACATCCTGCCACAGCAGCTTTATGCTAGGTCACTTTGAGCCTTTTTTTATCTATGAGAATAGCTCATTGTGAGAATAAATAGTAATATGTAAAAAACTGAGTCTAAAAGATAACAAATACTTCAAAAGTGTCATTGCCTTCTGATCTTTGATATTATATAGTTGTGAGAATACATGAGTTTGCAAATTGCTTAAATTAACAGATTACACATTCAAGTATCTAATAAAATGACTCATTTTAATTAAAATGTATTCATTCTTTCTGAATAAACCAAAAAGGAAAACTATCCCCATGAAGTAATTAATGATATGACAGTCTACTTGGTACTGTTAGTAGAAGAAACTTTGCTGTGCTGTCCTTACCTACCTCCACTCTTTTTTTTTTATTGTACATTTTGGTTTTTTTTTTTTTGTAGACATGTTAGTTAGGTTTTCTTCTATTTATTTATTTATTTATTTATTTATTTAATATCCCTCCCCTCCCATATCCCTCCCCCTCCCCCAATCAAGTCCCCCTCCCTCATCAGCCCAAAGAGCAGTCCGGGTTCCCTGCCTTGTGGGAAGTCCAAGGACCTCCCACCTCCTTCCAGGTCTAGTAAGGTGAACATCCAAACTGCCTAGGCTCCTACAAAGCCAGTACGTGCAGTAGGATCAAAACCCAGTGTCATTGATCTTGACTTCTCAGCAGTCCTCATTGTCCGCTATGTTCAGCGAGTCCGATTTTATCCCCTGCTTTTTCAGACCCAGTCCAGCTGGCCTTGTTGAGTTCCCGATAGATCATCCCCAATGTCTCAGTATGTGGGTGCACCCCTCACGTTCCTGAGTTCCTTGCTCTTGCTCTCTCTCCTTCTGCTCCTGATTTGGACCTTGGGATTTCAGTCCGGTGCTCCAATGTGGGTCTCTGTCTCTGTCTCCTTTCATCGCCTGATGAAAGTTAATCTCCAGGCGGATGACTATATGTCTTTCTTTGGGTTCACCTTCTTATTTAGCTTCTCTAGGATCACGAATTATAGGCTCAATGTCCTTTATTTATGGCTAGAAACCAAATATGAGTGAGTACATCCCATGTTCCTCTTTTTGGGTCTGGCTTACCTCACTCAGGATATTGTTTTCTATTTCCGTCCATTTGCATGCAAAATTCAAGAAGTCATTGTTTTTTACTACTGAGTAGTACTCTAACATGTATATATTCCATACTTTCTTCATCCATTCTTCCTTTGAAGGGCATCTAGGTTGTTTCCAGGTTCTGGCTATTACTAACAATGCTGCTATGAACATAGTTGAGCATATACTTTTGTTGTATGATAGAGCATCTCTTGGGTATATTCCCAAGAGTGGTATTGCTGGGTCCAGGCCTACCTCTACTCTTCAGCAGGCTAGATGCCAGGGCTACATGTTTGTCTGTATGTTTCTTTATGCCCTGCTGGTGCCTTGACAGTTACCTCATGATGTCACTATATTTGGACAGGGTAACATTGTAAGCCAAACTGAAACTGCTGCTTGTGTATGTCTTGGACAGATTGCATGTAGTGGCCTGGCCACCACTGGCACAGGCTGGACCCACAGGCCTGACAAGACAGAACAACATCTTGCAATTGGTGCTCCCCTGAGGGATTCTCTTCTGGACATTGTGGAAAGCCAAAGAGCTGACCCATGGTCTGGAGTCTGGGTCCAAGTAGTAGTGCAGAGAGTTTACTCCCTTCGCAGCAGAGACGGTGCCAGGAGCCAGCAACGGCACATAGAGGGGCATGCAGATTCACCTGGAACGTGGTGAGTAGCAAACATAGACACAGGAGAAAGGAAACTCTGCTCAGAAGAATTCTGGGTATAATTCGTTGTATACAGAGACTGTTTTGTATATGGTTTCTTTTTTGCATGAAAATTTGGTACATGTGTGTATTGCTCAGGGTTCTCTAGAGGAATGGAACTGATAGAATGAATATGGGACTTATTAGAGCAGCTTACACCCTGTAGTCTAGTATTCAAACAGTAACTGTTCACCAATGGAAAGTCCAGTCTCTTCTGGTCTTCAGGATATGCTGGAATCCTGAAGAAGTCGGATCTAATGTCACTGAAGGGATGAACTTGCCAGAGAGAGTGAGGACAAGCAGGGAAAGAACAAAACTCCCTTCTTCCATGCCCTTTATATAGGATGCCAAGGTGGCCCAGATTAAAAATGGGTCTTTGATGTCAAATGATCTTTTTTCATTTCTAGGAAGTATCTTTAGTTATATCTCTCTGAAAACACCCCTGTAGACATACTCAGAATCAAGTGCTTTATGTACTCCAAATCCACTCATGTTGACAATGAAGATAAGTCACTAAAATTTAATGACCATATATATGACAGTGTGCATGTGGTTGTAATTCATGGTAATTATTTTTAACTTTATTTATTCTTTGTTGATTTCACATCATGCATTCCGATTCCACTTATCTCCCTGTCCCCTTGCATCCATCCTCTGCCCTTGCAACCTCCCCCCAAATCAAAACAAAATTTAAAAGAAAAACTAAATCAACAAACAAAAGTAGGCAAAGCTGTAGTGTGGCCTATTGAGTCACACAGTTTACTCTTTTGTCCATTCATCTTTACTTGCAAGTGTTTGTTGCCTTTGGGGTCTCTGGTTTCTGCTGTGCCACCGATAAAGGGCTCTCACCGGGGACCTATGTCATGGAGATCCTGCTGTTTTGTATCTGTAGGTTCTTTCCCTTCTCATGTTCCAGCAGTTTATAGATTTGGTGGATGTTGGGATGGGCCAACTCACAGTCCTGGTTCTGGACCTGGGTGGTAGCTGGGTTCGTCAGTCTACCAGCGTTCTCTCATGGTCACTACCCAGACAAGCTCTTCAGCAGTGCCTAGCTCACCAACGCAGCCTGCAGCAAGGATTGGGACCATTCTCGTGATCTCAGGTCCTCAGATCTGGTTCACCCACTCTCACATCTATAGAAAAAAAAAATTAGACCAGTTCTAGAAAAAAAACATCCCTCCAAGGTATACCCAGCTGTTTGGGGTTTAGTTAATTCCAGATAAAGTCAAGTTGGCAACAAGAATAGCCATCCCAATATAGTATATACAACAAAGGATTTTGTCTCATTTATGTGAGAAGTCTTACTAAAAATGTCCATGGACTGATGACTAGATTAAAAAACATAGCGTATCTGTCGGGCTACTGTCAGGCCCTGCCCTACCTGGAATTGTTACATTTACTTTCGGTGGCTCATGTTGTAGAAAACAGTACAGATTAAAGATATATTCACAAAGTGCTGGAAAGACAATGGCATGTGGCTACTGTACCTAAGATTGTGTATCAGTTCTTTAAAAACTGAGTATAGAATGGCAATTCGACAATCTGTGGCTCTGAGAGACTGCTGTTTGAAACAGAGTGCATGATACTAATAGCATGTCCTGTGGCAATGTGAGTACTGTGTGCCTTCACTGTCCAAGGCAGTGATTCTTGTGGACTAGAAATGTGGCTAGTGTAACAAAGAAGCTAGAATTTAAATGTTTACCCCAGTACTCATTTACGTGTGTGAATGTGTTTCTCTGTGTGTGTGTGTGCATTCCACTGCATGTGTACGGGAGTCAGAGACTGTTGTGGGAGTCAGTGCTCTCTTACCATCACGATGGGCCTGGGATTAAACTCGGACTTTGCCCGCTAAGCTGTCTCAGCAGCCCAGTAACTGTTTTAAGAGGTCTCCTGTGGGTGAGGGCTGCTGTGTGAGGGCTTTAACAGCAAAGGCCTCACCCATGATCCAAAGTACTGTGCTCAGAGGGGCATGGGAGGCATGTCTTCAGATTTAGGCCCTTCCTGCTTCGTCTGGGATTTTTTTGTTTAGTTTTTTTTTTTTTCAAATGACTATAGAAAACTCATTAACTGAGGAGTTTATGGTAGAACGATTTTTAAATGTTATTTTCCTGGTGCTTTTGAGTGGCCCTCCAAGCAACAGATTATAAATTGAAAGTATTCATGCTGTTTGTTATCAGTGAGAACTGAACAGTTCCTTGTGGTGGTGCCGTCTCACTGCAGTGGGAATGCATAGAGAGAGCTTCATGTTGCCTCTAATTGATGCTCAAGGGAATGCATTCTATCTGAAAATATCCTAAATGTTTAAAAATCCTGTTGAGGTCTAGAGTGGAAAACAATTCATTTGATTTATAGATTCTTTGCTCTTCACTCTGGGAATTTTAAATAAAATTATCAAAGACAGTTCGAGATTAGATACAAATTTTGTTTGTATTTTAGTTTTGCTTTAAAGAAAGGCATACAAATAAGGTGGTGACTAGGACCATCCTGCTGAAGCTTCTCCTGCCAGATACTGAGCACACTCCTAGCACAAAGAGACCGAGCTCTGAGTCACCGTGACACTGGTGTAATCACAGTGCGTCTCGAAAGCCATCCTCTGTGGCCTTCACTGGTGCCTGTTGTTGAATGAAGAGCCAAAAAGGCAGAGCTCTGAAAGTCTAACTGATGCTGATGCTCATATTTTGTGTTATCTGTACTTTAGAATCTTGTCATGGCATGAGAAATGAGAATATATTTGTGGAGGGTTGTTGGAAGACCAAGTGTAAACCTCAAAACTGGAAAAATGACGTTCAGTTACTGACTTGTGGTGAATATGCTATCTGTGTAATCCATGTGTGATTATAGACAATGAGACTAACTAGCATTTGTTCCTTTGCATTCATGAGGTTCTTACTACACACTGGAGGTTCTGCACACAGCACAGAATGAAAAATGTATTGGAATAAAGTCCCCAATGGCAGGGTGGAACAAACTGTATCTAGATGAATGCTGTCCTAGGGCAGCAAGAGACTGACCTCATCCTGTGATACTTGGTTAAACTGTGGAGGAAAATGGATTTTTGAGTACTTAGTCTTGGATTTGAGGACACTTCTACTGGTGCCTTTAGTACTTGAAGTTCTGATCATTAGTATTTTCTAGATTTGTTTGTTGTGATCATAAGACTATGTGGTCTATGAATCTTACAAATATAGAAAGGGAATTATAATTTACTAATTATTAGTATACTAATTCTCTGTATATATTGCATGTAAGTATGTGTTTCTACATGCATATAATTATATATTAATAAATATACTTGCATTAGAGACATATTTAACCATATGATTTCCTTTAGTAGTAGTAGTTGTAGTATGATTTCTTTTAGTAGTTGTAGTTTTAGTCAGAGGCTACTTGTTCATTCCTAACTGCCCAGACCTGAAATAATTACACAAAAACTTTATCATTTAAAACACTGTTTGACCAATATCTTAAGTGTATTGTTAGCTAGCTCTTATATCTTAAACTAACCCATTTTCATTTTTTTGTATTTTACCACAAGGCTTATGGTTTACCGGTAAAGGTCCCAGGTGGCTACATGACATCTCACTGACTCTGCCTACTTTCTCCTCTATCTCTGCTTGGAATTCCCACCTTACTGTACTCTGCTAAGCCACTGGCCAAAACAGCTTTATTCATTAACCAATAAAAGCAACACATATACGAAAAGACTTCCCACACCAAGTAGTATTAGTTGTATGTGTGTGTGTGTGTGTGTGTGTATAACAGGATCCCCTGTAGCCCAGGCTGTTGTTGAACTCACTGTATAACCAAGAATGACCTTGAGGGAATCCTGATTGCTCTTTGGGCTGAAGAGGGACGGGGACTTGATTGCGGGAGGGGGAGGGAAATGGGAGGCAGTGGTGGGGAAGAGACAGAAATCTTTAATAAATAAATAAATTAAAAAAAATAAAAAAAACCAACAATTTTTCTACCTCAACCTTTCAAGTGCTGGGATTATAGGCAATTACCAACACAGTAGGCTTTCACAATATGGCTTCCTATATACACACACATACACACACGCCAGTGAAAAATAGATGGTTCAGTCAGTGGTTAAGAGCATTTGTTGCTCTTGCGGAGGACCAGTATTCCATTGCTAGTACCCACGTGTTGGCTAACCACGAACTGTAACTCTAGTTCCTTAAGCTCTGTCTCCTCCCTCTTCTGGTCCTGAAGCACGGGGTTCACAGACACCACACGGTGAAAACACCTGGACATTAAAATGAAAGAAAACTCTTCCACACAGATGTTTGTGTGGCAGCATTATTCACAGTAGTCAAAACTAGAAACCATCTATACAGCCCCTACTAAAAACTTTTCTGTAGGCCATTTTATTTCTCATAGACAGATTTCCAAGTAGATTTGGTGAGTTGTACGGTATTATTTTAATAATATTATCAATTATTTATTAATTTAATTATTATAATTTTTTATAATTTAGCTAAATAATTTTATATTTCTACCAACAATGGTGTACAACCATTTTTATTTTTCACCTGCTGTGGGGTGCACACCTGTAATCCAAGCACTAGTTACATGAAGGCCAGGGAATTTGAAGGCAGCCTGAACTATACAGGGAGAATTTATCTCCAAAGGAAAGTTGGGAGGGAGGACTGGAAAGAATGCTCAGCAGTTCAGAGCACTAACTGCTTTTTCAGCTCACTTCTGTCTGTAACTCCAGCACTTCTAACAGCCTCACACAGACATCCAAAGGAAGGGGGTGGGGGAATTGCATATCTCCATATACTCACTAAAACATTCTACTCCCTCTATCTTTCCTTCCTCTCTTACCTTTTTTCTTTTTTTTTAAAATAAAAACTGTCTTAATAGGTATAAAATGGTATTTCATTGTAGCTTTGATCAGATTTTGTAAAAAGGATGTTGTTCTTCTTTATATGCATTTGTTGCCAGTTTGTATCTTTCTTTGATGACTGTAACTCTGAGTTTTTTACTTATTTTAAATTATATTGTCTTTTTTAAAATTGTTTGAGAATTGAATACACTGTATTTTGTTTCCCTCCTTTAATCTCCAATTCCGTACCTGCTTGGCCTACTTTGTTTTCCGTTGTTGTGATAAACACCATGAGCAAAAGGAAACTGAGGACGAAAGGGTTTATTTCAGCTTAATTACTTAGAGTCTATCAGGAAGGGAAGTCAAGCAGGGCTGGCACTGAAGCAGAGACCTTTGAGGATTGCTGCTTACTGACCTGCTCCTCATGGCTTACTCAGCCTACGTTCTTCTACCACTCAAACCTACCTGCCCAGGATGCTGCCACCTGCACAGTTGGCTAGGATCTCCTGCATCACTCCTTCATCAAGAAAATGCTCTACAAGCCTTCCTATAGGCCAATTTGATGGAGACATTATCTTAACTAAGGTTCTTTATTCCCAGATGACCCTGGCTTTACAAAAACAAAAACAAAACAAAAAACTATTACACTGTTTTAACTTTTTGTTCTCAATTTTAAAAAACAGACCTATCTGGTCCAATTAGTGTTGCCTGTATACTCTTGTATACTCTGTATATTCCACCTGCCAGGGGCAACACTCTTGGAAAAAAGGAACTCTAGCTCCTCAGCTGTTGGTGGAATTTACTGAGCTTCTTTCCTCTCTGTATTGGGATTCTGTCTGGCCTGAGCTTGTGTATGTCTTGTGCATGCTGTCCCAACTGCTATGAGTTCATATGTGTGATTCCCCTGTTGTCTGGAAAACACTGTTTCATGGTGGTCATTTGTTTACCTGTCTAGAGGTTATGGAACCGGGGGATGGAATAAATGAAGTGGACTAAAGTCTCATGCACGTCAGACTTTATTCAGAGCATCAGACAGTTTATACCCTGAGTAAAGTGTGCAGTCACAAGGACAAGCCACACAAGTGGTTTTCTGTGGGCGTATAAACAAATACCAAGAGTCAGTTGTAATGAATAATCTGAAGTAGTTAGCTCATATCTGCTACACCTGGGAAGAGAACAAAACATTCCATGAACAATTCTGTGATTTTCAAAATCTGAGGTCATAAGACTTTTGTCTTGTTTTCTTGGAATTTTCTCACAAACACTCAGAATACCTGTCACATGACTCCATTCTTGGACTGTGTTCCAGAAATCATTCCCTGCCTTTGGCTCTTACAGGCTGCACGCTCCTCGCCAGTTATCCTCGAGCCCTGTAGGGAAGGGATATGTTAAAGATTTTCTCCTGAAGACTCACACTCTGAAGGCCCTTATTTTCTACTCTTTAGCCGACTGTGGGTACCTGTGTTAATCCCCATCTTCTATAAAAGAAGCTTCTCTAATGAAGGTTGACTGAGGCACTGTCTGTGGATGCAGTAATTGTAGATTGTCCCCTTGGGCCTATGAACCTCTTGCCAAAGGTTCTTAGCAATGCTTTTAAGTGTCTACCACTGAAATGTGGGATTCAATTTGGTGAGCCAGGCCTCAATCTAATCAGAAAGTATTTCTTTACGCCCTTGACATTTGTACCACTTTTGCATTAGTGAGCATATTTTGCCAGGCTATTGTTGTAGTTTGCAGGGTTCATAGCTGGACAAGATTGATTACTGTTCTATTCCAGAAGTGTGCATAGCACCTTCCAAAACTATGACAGCTAGCCAGTAGGAATGAAGCTTCCAGACCAGTACTAGCTTCATTTCTCCTATAATTCAAGTAAGTGATGTATTCAGCAGCAGGGTCTCTTCTTACCTTTGAGCTCTAGGCCATAGCCAAGGACAATGGCAAATAGTCTGTGATACTTCCTTTCTGGCACTAAGTTTTTTTTTAGCTGTGTCTTATAGAGATATTGTTATCCTATTTATAGATGTCTATCTTTAAAGCTTAGATTTGCTTATAGATGGGTTTTGTTTCTTAATTTATTCAGCTAATCTGTGTCTTTTTTTAGTGTGAAATACTTTAATAATTCTAAATGATCTCCCTCCAGTACTTTGCAGTATATAATACATTTTTTTATTTTTATTGCTTTATAAATAATACCATTCAAAATTTCCACCTCTTCCTTTCCTCCCATTTCCCTCCCACTCCCCCACTCACCCTCTTCCCTGCCCCTCCAGTCCTAAGAGAGGGCAGGGTACCCTGCCCTGTGGGAAGTCCAAGGCCCTCCCCGCTCCATCCAGGCCTAGGAAGGTTTGCATCCAAACAGACTAGGATCCCAGAAAGCCAGTACATGCAGTAGAATCAAATCCCAGTGCCATTATCATTGGCTTCTCAGTCAGCCCCCATTGTCAGCCACATTCAGAGTCTGGTTGGATCACATGCTCATTCAGTCCCAGTCCAGCTGGCCTCGGTGAGCTCCCATTAGATCAGTCACACTGTCTCAGTGGGTGGAGCGTATGGAGGAGACTGGCTAGTCACTGTTAGACCAGCCTATAACTGTAGATTCGTGGGCCAAGGTCCAACACAAAGGGCATTTGGTGTCGGTAGGAATACAATATGAGATGTCGGTGTTGAGTCTGAAATCCTCACCTTGCATTAGGTTTCCCAGAGGATAAGGTCTGAATGGTGGACAATGAGAATATGCAGGAAGGAGAGCACTGAGAAGAAGGGAGGGAGGAAGAAAAGAACAAACGAACCCATGCTGGTGATTGAGCAGAGAATTGATGGCCGCTGTTTACCGAAAAGCAGCCTGTATCTTTTTAGAAAGACAGAGAGGTGTTATACACACATGTATCTATTTTAACGGAATGCAAGTTGGGAAGTTCCAGCAGAGCGTGCAACAGGGATTTAAGGACAAGATAGATTTCTACTGTAGCTAACTTAGCCATTGTGTGTGTTTGTTTATATTCTTGCTTGCTGATTTAAACAGGGTGTCACGTTGCTCTTCCCATGCAGTCAAGGCTAATTTTGAACTCCTGATCCTCTTGATCCTGAGCAGAGACTGCATAGGCAGGTGCCGCCACACCCAGCTTGAATTATTTTAAAAGACAAAATTGGACGGTTTTTACTGTGTTCATAAAGTTGTGTGACTGCCACTGTCTACTCCCTGAACAATTTCATCACCCTCAGGGAGACTTGGACCTATTGATAATTGTTTTGAATTCCCCTCCTGCTCCCTGGTCAAGGACAAGTGTACTTCCCAACTACTGTGGACACTTTCCATAAATTACGGATTTGGAGCTTCATTGCTTTTTAGGGTCTGTTTTAAGGCGTGTTTTCTCACTTGATTGGTTCTGTCTTCCCATGCTGGCTCTGCGCATCTTAGTAAGGAAAAGGCTGTACCTTTGATTCAGGTTTCTCCGTTCTGTTTGGTATACAGTCTGGGTAAATGGTAGGGAGGGCCTCTTTTATTTGACAAATGTAGTGTTTTCAGATCTACAATGAATATCCAGTGTGGTCATGTTTTAGTTCTGAAATTTCAAGTGTCCTTGTAAAATAAAACTAGAAAGAAGATTGTGATTGTATTGCAGAGGGTTAGAATTTATCTTACAAAGTACTGACTACAGTGGATATGCTGAAGCAGTGTTTGTGGGTAGGATGGGAAACATGAGAATCTGAGTATGAGGAGGAGGTACACATCCTGCTATTTGGGCACCACGATGAGTGAAGTGTGATAGTCACTTTTAGTTGTCATCTTGACACCCTGTAGAGCCACCTTAGAAAAGTCTAGTGGAGGACTTGTCTGTACCTGTCAGCAGCACTGTGCTGCGGCTTTGAGTCCTGGACTGTGGGAGCTGAAGAGGAGGCTTGTGTGCACTCACTGCTGTGCTCTCGACTGCGGTGTGACGCATGCACTCACTGCTCCGCTCTTGACTGCTGTGTGACGCGTGCACTCACTGCTGTGCTCTCGACTGCGGTGTGACGCATGCATTCACTCTGCTGTGCTCTTGACTGCAGTGTGACGCGTGCACTCACTGCTGTGCTCATCACTGCGGTGTGACGCGTGCATTCACTCTGCTGTGCTCTTGACTGCGGTGTGACGCGTGCACTCACTGATGTGCTCTTGACTGCGGTGTGATGCATGCATTCACTCTGCTGTGCTCTTGACTGCGGTGTGACGCGTGCATTCACTCTGCTGTGCTCTTGACTGCGGTGTGACGCGTGCATTCACTCTGCTGTGCTCTTGACTGTGGTGTGACAAGCTGTTCTAAGGCCCTGCTACCTAGACTTCTGTATGATGGATTGCAGTTTGGAATTGTGAGCTAAATGAACACTTTTCCCCCCAAGCTGTTTTTTGTCAAGGAATGTTATAGCACCAGCAAGAGGCTTCTTCAGGGAAATGTTGATATTTGATAGTGATTTTAGTTCAGTGGATAATGGTGAAAACTGGTCTACAAACAGTGATGAGTAACTTGAAAATTGGTGTTGGGAAGACAGGCCTGGGGAGAGGATGTGAAACAATTCTGCTTAAAGTCAGAAATTTACCCCTTCCAGTGGAAATTCAGTTAGTTGCTGTGCCTCTTGGCTATGTGAGAGAAGGCCTTCAGAGGACTGGTATAAAAAATGGGAGGCTGGGAGGAGGTGGAAACTTGTTTTTTTTTTCTCCTTTTCTCAATAAAAAAAAAAAAAAGTTAAAAAAAAAAATGAGCCAGAACGAGGCAGAGGAAGGCTGCTGCTGACCACTGACCACTTGTCTCTATCAGTGCTGGGGCCCTTCCTCCCTCACTGTACTTATAAGATGGATGCAAAACAGGATCCCTGGTGGGAGGGTGGCCAGAGAACAGAAGTCTGGTTAGAGTCCTGGGCAGAGGGATGAGTCACCTCCAGTCTGCTTCTACACTGCAAGTCAGTGCCTCAGGCATTGAACATTAGCCTTCTGTACTGAGAGAAAAACTTGTACAGCTCACTGAATAATACCACCTATCCGAAAAGGTGAAAAAATGCCAGCGCACCTCTGTAAACTTTAAGCTCATATTTCAAAAATATTAAAAGGTGTTATGACCTGCTACTGACTTGTCCTGTCCCTTTAAGAGACAAGTCCCGCCCACTTCCCCCTTTTGCCAAAGCAAGGGGATCTTCCACTTCCAGCCTTCACTCTCTGCCCTGGCTCTCACCTCTCTGCCCCCTTTCCTTCCCTAACCTACTGAAGAGACTATACCCAAACCCTCTCTCTGCATGGCGTGCCTATCCGTCTCTGTCTCTCACCTGCCCCAGCACCTCATGGGACCCAGCTGCCCCTTGGGGACCAGTGCCATTTTATGTAAACCATTACAAAAGGCAAGCTTAAATTCCATGATAATGAAATAATTCACACTCTCTTTATTTTAATCTTGATATTGCTCAGTGGTCATGTCTAACACAAAGTGAAATAGAAAAAGTTATGAATACCTGTTTTTTCTGTCAACAAACATTGTGGCCCATAGCAGGGTAGGGCATCCTCATAGCACGCAACAGTCCACAAGTAACATGAAAAACTGGTAGACAGTTCCCACAGTCCCATGCAGTACTAAAAGCCAGGACTTCTTTTACCATGTAAAGATAGTGACTGTCTGCTGCTCAGAATGCTTTCTTCTGGAA